CTTTGTTTCTATAAGGAATGTTTCTCGCCTTACTTTCATTTCCAATGTCGGTTTTGTCATCCATTTATGTTAAATCCCAGATTCCTTGTTCACCTCTTGCCTTCAGCATGCCCTGTGAGCTTTCTTTCCTCGGGATGTGTCTCATAACTAAGAATGCTGCTATCAACCCATCCTGATTCAGCCTGTTAAGAAGTTGTTGTAGAAGTTAATCTTCGGGACAAGGATGATCTTAGCTCTCCGAAAATTCATCTCCTAAAAGAGTTCCATGTTTGTCTCATTTAGTAGAAGCATGTTGGATTAAAGGTTTACGGCTTGCATTGTGGAATCGGAGAGCCGAGTTCGAATTCCTTGGGTGGCAACGGATCTAAGAGGACAAACTCTAAATTTAAAAATAAGTCTCTTATTGCCTTGTAGGTCCTGCCTTTTAGGCAAAGGCACATGTAACCTTTGGAAGTAAATTCAAGAATAAAATTCGTCTCTCAGGTTGTTTCGAATGAATAAACTGACTTCCTCCCTCCCGCCCTCAATATTTTGAGCCTCGACAGTAATAATGGATTCCTTGGATCTGTGGAGGTCTTTGGTTTAAGAATGGTATGTCATTCACAGCACTTTAGAAGACGACAACTGTCCCTCCCAGGCCTACAAACCATTTATACAATGCGCTTTCTACCCGTCTTACCTCTAATATGACTAATGAGTGTCAAATTCTCCAAGCTCTCTTTCCTCATTGTGCATTCTAGAAAGTTCATCTCTCTCTCTCTCTCTCTCTCTCCCTCCCTCCCTTTCTCTCCTCTCTTTCTCTGTCTCTCTCTCTCTCTCTCTCTCTCTCTATTTGCATCAGTGTTATTTTTGTTTCCGTTTTCTCTAAAACTTCACCGTTGGTCACGTGTTCAGTCTATTCTCATCATCCTTCTGCATAGCAACCTTTCTGATGCCACTAGTCTTCACTTAACCAGTGATGAGATTGGACAGAATTCCCTGCCATATAGGAGGACCGATATTACGTAACAGAGCGCAGTTTCAAATTTTTTTATCCTCTCTCAAAGAGAGTCATTTTTGAAAAAGGTTCAAATCCTAACTTTTATTTTGTCATCTTTATTTCTAACATTTATTATGTACAGTCAATTATTATTATTATAATAATAATAATAATAATAATAATGTCAAATGAAATTACAAAAAAAAACTACTGAGTGGACGAAGTGTTGCATGGCAAATACCGAAAAAGAACGAAAAATAGCAGATTTGGAGCAACAGAAAACACATCAGTGGCTGAGGAGACCAGAAGTCCTAATTATTGCAGCTCAGGACCAACGCCTCACAAATCAGATCCTATCACTGTCACATAATCAAAGATAGAACTGAAATGCAGAATCTGCGGAAAATATGATGAAACTGTCGGCCATATTATCTCAGGATGTCTGGAACTATCACAAAATGAATATACCCACAGACATAAAAAGTAGTGACATGTGCATTGGAAGATTTTTTAAAAAGCTTCTTCCTCTAAAACTAAAGTAACGCTGACAGTCGCAATGAACGTACGTCATTTTTATCGCTCCAAGAACGTAATGTTTTGGGGTTTTTTTATAAGGAAAAATAACAAGTGATTATTATTTATTTATTCGTTCATTAACACTCTTTATTATATTGTCATAGTGTATATTTATATTTTTTTTTATTTATTAAAATAGATATTTTATTTGTGTATATGTATTTTATGTATTATGATCTCAATTTGTTTACGCTTTAGGTTAATTGGTATTCATTACATATCTTAAAAAACACAATTATTTACCACATTGTATTTGCTAACTTATTTTATATATTTGGCACGAATGACCGAGCTTTTTGTATTTAGATATTTGTCTTTTAATTTTTACAGGGAATCGGACTTTTATATTCGAGTTTATAGGAGAGGCGTCTCGAATCCTTACTTTTATTTTGTCATGTATATTTTTACTATTTGTTATGTATAGTCAATTAGTTTCTACTAATTAATATGTAAACAAATGTTTAAACAACAACAAATATAATAATAATACTACTACTAATAATAATAATAATCGTATAGATATTTGACGATTATTTTTCTATTATTTATTATATATATATATATTAGTTTTTTAATATTCATTTCCTACTAGTCAGAATTTTAAAAACAGTAATAATAATAATAATAAAAGTGCCTCCTTATTGATATGGCAGTTAACTGCAGACGGCAATGTATCTTTCAAGATCTTCAAAAAGCTATCAAAATACAAGGACCTTGAAATCGAAATCTCAAAAATGTGGCACATGGGAACATCAACAATCCCTGTTGTAGTTGGAGTCCTAGGATTGGTTGGAAAAGATTCCAGTAGACTAATTGAAGAAATTTCCTGGAAGTCCATGCCTCAAAGAAATATCAAAAATTGTTCTCACGAGTACAGCCCACACCTTACCTTATCTATGTAAAATGTTTTGTTTTGTTTTTTTGTTTTTTTGTTTTGTTAGTGGAAAGTGTCATGATGCCATTTCTAACCTTAGGTCCCTAGGCAGGAGCCGGAAAGAAATGAGTACACATCAGAAATCAAAGGAAATAAAATAATAATAATCTATATATATATATATATATATATATATATATATATATATATATATATATATATATATATATATATAAAAAAGATGATGTCTCTGTGTCTTTCTGTCTGTCTGTATGAAATCTTTTCACTCGAGCATATAAGACGCAGGGGAATTTTGAAAGTTATTTTTAGTGAGGAGGTGTAGTGGATAGCGGCTCGGACTGAGGAATCTGAGAGCCGAGTTCGAATTCCAGTCAAATCCATTACATTCACTCACGTGCTAATTACCCTTGGGAAAGGTATGGAGCCTCTTCTTCTCCCTCCAGCTATGGGTATATAACAGGACAAACCGGGTTCTATAGTCTTGGATGGCAACTGGTCCACCACAGAAAGAAATGGCAACCTATTGCAGGAAAAATCTGCCTGGTCAGTCATGTATCGAAAGGTACATGATCGTCTAAGCGTGTATTACGCACATAACTGACTGATTTTTAGTGAAAAAAAAATGCGCTTTATATGCCAAATACAACACTTAAAGCAGGGAATCATTTTTTTTTCATGAATATAAATTTGTAATCCGTTCGTAGACTTGTTTTGACCGGAAATTACAAGGACGAGGCATTTTTGCCGGAAGTCACAATGACGAAGCAAACAGTAAGGATTGAACTCACTACAAATAAATCTACAAAAAAAAGCAAAAAAAAAATTCTATTACACCACCATGATGCACCAAAAAATTGTGAGAAACAGTTCGAATTAAAGGTAGAAAATTATCTATATATAAAAAGCAGTTTGTGTGTCTGTCTGTCATTATGATGACTTTTCACCCAACCGATTTTGACCAAACTTAGCACATACATTGTACAATGTAAAAAATAGGTTCTTAGCGTAAAAAATCGATAATTTCTTAAAAAATCAATAATCAATAAAGCCAATCAAAAATCGTTAAATTCAACTTTTTCCTCCGATTACGTTCAAACTCGGTATGTAGGTTACTTACATCGTGACAAGTTCTACAATACCTCATTTTTTATTTCTACGACATTGTGTTTAGCGAAAAACGGCGAAAAACGAAAAATCGATTTCAACACACATTTTGAACTAAAAACTCCCTCAATTTTCAAGCAATCTAATACAAACTTCGCTCAATTGTAACCAACAATAAGTTGATAATTCAGTCCACCCATATAGTGAAAACCCGCGTAAACAACGAAAAATGGCGATTTTTAGTGGTTTCTTTCTTATTTTTCGTTGATATTTCAACCAATTTTCATCAAACTTAACAACTGCTTTATAAATGTATCCTCTTTTACATCCCTGATAGCACACTGACAAATTGACTTTCAAAAGCTCCAAAATAATTGTAGTCTGAAGTGGGTCTTCATGTTGCCTGTTTTACCCTTTCATGTCCTCGGCTAACTTCGATTGAATAAATAGAGACTTTTTCCTTCTGTTATATCAGGAACTACATTAATTCAAATTGTTTTTTGTTTAATGAAAGTACTTTAAAATAATTCAAGAAGATAGACTCAGTTGCTGTTTTTGCTCCGTTCTAATTGAACGCTTTTTTCTGATCAATCCGTTGAATAACGCTGCTAGTAACAATAATAATAATGTCAAATGAAATTACAAAAAACCGGGAGGACAAGCCATTGTATGGGAAAAAGAACGAAAGAAGCAGATGTGAACCAACAGAAAACACATCAGTGGCGGAGGAGCACCAGGTTGAGAGGTGAGACACAAGGCCTAATTTTTGCAGCTCCGAACCAAAGCCTTGCAACCAGATCCTATCATTGTCGCATAATCAAGGATGGAACTAATCCGAAATGCATGACCTGCGGAAAATATATTTCAAACTCTCGACGATATTATCTTAGGATGTCCGGAACTAGCAAAAAATGAATATACCCACAGACATAACAGGATAGCGACATCTGTGTATTGAAACATGTGCAAGAAGCACAAAATCGAAACCACTGAGAGATGGTATGAGCACCAAACAGACATAGTTACCGAAAATAACGATGTAACTATCCTCTGGGACATGCAAATTCAAACTGACAGGAAATAAAAGCCAACACAACTGATATTATCATAAAAGACAAGAAATTTCAGGAAGTGTATGCTTATTGACAAAGCAGTACTATCTGAGAGAAACATCGCCATGAGTATTATCGAGAAATTGTCCAAATACAAGGACCTGGAGATCGAGATTAACAGGATGTGGGGGATGAAGATTGAGACTGTATCAATAGTAACCAGAGCTCTGGGTCTCCCGAGAAAAGGAATAGACAATTTAACTAAGAGTGTCCCAGCTAACATCAACATACAAGTTGCCCAAAATATGCTAGGAACATCCAATATACTAAGAAAAGTGCTATAGTTAGTTTGGACCTGGCTTTCAGGGATACAAAGCAGGAAATATAACATACACTAATAATAATAATAATAATAATAATAATAAGAAGAAGAAGAAGAAGAAGAAGAAGAAGAAGAAGAAAATGGGATGTAAAAAGAAGACGAATGCAGCCAAGGAAGAAGGAGCTGAATAAATACAAGAACAACAAAAACAACAAAAACAACAGCAACAACAACAACAACAACAATAATAATAATAATAATCCCATACACAAAAAAAGTGCTCTCAGTTAAATGAAAATTCTCCTATAGAGCCTAAAGACCATAGTTTGGACGCGGCTATAGGATACAAAACAGGAAACATGGCATACACAAATAATAATAATAATAATAATAATAATAAAAGATCAATAACCGAACAAGACCCATATGCAAAGGTGTAAAAGGAGTTAAATTCAAGGATATAAATTCTATATTATAGACAATAATAAAACCGTTAATTAATTAATTAATAATAATAATAATAATAATAATAATAATAATAAGCAATTAAAAGGTGGTTCCACTCTCCTCAAAACCAATTTTTATAATTCTAATCTCTCGCCTAAACATTGGAAATTTATTATTTATTATTTATTTATTTATTTTTCTTCAATAGGAGTGGATAGGTTCGACTATTGCCCACTTCACGCCCCTCCTCGGTCTTTTGAACAGGAGTAGAGGTTTATCCCTTGTTTCTTGTTTAGGATTGGATTCCCGGTTCTTTCTAAAGTGTTGAAACTTGACTAATGCATGGAATAATAATGCAACACAAAATGTACTTAGAACAAAATGTATTGAAACAAGAAAGTGTACACAATATTTACATATAGTCTTTTGTATATTCCTGGTAAGACCGTTCCTGGTGAATGTGTTGACTGAGTCGCAGTCGGGCAGAGTCTCTGGTTGAATCTCTTGATTCCTTCCTCTCTTCCCGGTACCAACCATATTTATATGGTCGGTACTCCACTATGCAAATTAGGTGGATCCTACCACAACATAAAGTTTATTTAATTTTCATATTTCTAGGGTTTCGCTGAAACTATGAAATATTATTTACTATTTATTGTTTATGTATTTTACATCACTATGAGTGGGTGGGTTCGCCTATCGTCTACTTCACGTACCTCCCAGGTCTTTTAAACAGGAGTAGAGGTTTATCTTGTTTAGGATTGGGTTCCCGATTCCATCTTCTCGTTCTCTTTCACACTCCGTAACCCCTTGCATCTTAGTGGCATTATCGTGAAGTGATTAAAAAAAAAGTATCAGAGCTGAAGATGGCCAAACCTCGCATTTCAGGGTTGATAGCTGAAATAAAGGTCTACGAGACGTTGTGGGTGGCGAATAATTTCCAGCCCTGCAACAGCTTTCCCATCGATGAAATGACATAAGCTTCTCGCTATTATATGGTTATTTCTGACGAGCTACGGTATTTAGTCACCCCACCCCACGAGGGCATCATGTGGCACAAGACCGGTTTAACATGGGATCTCCGAGCCTGTGGGCTCGGCCAAAAATATGCCCTTTGAACCTGTATAAACGGGTTCAGGGTCGGTTTACCTCCCCGAAAGAGAATCCGCCCTTCGGCGTAGCCTCGTTCGGGTTCCTCCGCGCCCGAAGTCAGAGAGTTCAACCGATCAGCCAGTCGACCGAATTCAGACTGAACTCAGACCGACTCTTGATTCTTCCAGTTCAGGCTATGACCTGTTATACCATGTACATTCGGACAGGTTCATTTATTTTTTATTTTGTTTTAGAAAATCAAAATTGCACTCGATGTATAAGCTGGAATTTGATGTGCTAATTACTGCCAACAAAAATTAGATTAATAACTTTTACCAATTCTGGAGCATTTAAATTTAAATATTGTCTGAAAAATGTACAGAAACACCTAATTTTGTTTACTTCAAAATTGTACTATTTCAAATAATAGTATTGATATGGTTTGTATTAAATATATTAAATGGAAAATATATTCAAACCAGAATTCTAATTATGAATTACTACGGGAAAAATATGCATTTTTTTTTACAGTTTTCGATAAGTAAAAACTGTAAAAATTGTAAAAACTTACAAAAAAGGCTAATTAATGAATAAGTTGGGTCATAATTAACAAAAAATAAAAAATAGATAAAAATATATATAATTTGTATTTGGCCACAAATTATAAGAAAAAATCTGTCTATATTTCTGATATAAAGTATTATGTACACTATTTACATTATTCGGACTATTGTCCTCATCTTTGTCGCCATATTTATCACAACGTTTCGGCCGTTGTACGCTCTGGCCTTCTTCGGGTGGTTGGAATGTTATCATTTATCTCCTGTTAATTCCCCTCTGAAAGTTCTCCACTGCCTTAACCGGGTATTGAACTCACACTCTTTGGATCTGGATCTAACCAACGCCTTTATCCACTGTGCTATGTATCGGTTAAGGCAGTCGATAAAGATGAGGACAATAGTCCGAATAATGTAAATAGTGTACATAATACCTCATCTCAGAAATATAGACAGATACTGAAAGGCCTAAACGTTGTAATAAATATGGCAACAAAGATGAGGACAATAGTTTGAATAATGTAAATAGTTTACATAATACCTCATCTCAGAAATATAGACAGATACTGAAAGGCCTAAACGTTGTAATAAATATGGCAACAAAGATGAGGACAATATGAATAATGTAAATAGTGTACATAATACCTCATCTCAGAAATATAGACAGATACTGAAATGCAGAAACGTTGTAATAAATATGGTAACAAAGATGAGGACAATAGTTTGAATAATGTAAATAGTGTACATAATACCTCATCTCAGAATTATTGACAGAATCAAATTGAAATTTTGCGTCAATATACAGAGAATAATAATTGAAGAAAAAATTTCAGATGAAAAAATCTGTTAAAGAGTATAAAAATAATTAAATACAAGGATCTTGATACTGACACTGTAAAAAATGTGCCTCCATAAATTACTTTTTTACCAATGATAAGGGGAGCACCGGAACCAAAAAAAAAAAAAAAAGCCGGTAAAGACAAGAGATGTGGAATCTTTCTGTTCAAAAGAGAATTTTGAAAAAATTGTATTATGTGGAACTGCTAATCTATTCAGCGAAAATATTATCAATGCAAAGAAAACAATGTGAATGTTAAGTATCACTTTACATCAGCAATCGGGGAAACAAAACGTGTATTATTGCTACCCTGCCTCTTCTCTCGGTGCATTTTAAGAAGACAGCGAAAACGACCAAAAGAAATAAAAATACTAATGATGATTATGATGATGAGAAACGATGTAGAATCAGAAAGCATAATAATAATAATAATATTAATAATAATATTAATAATAATAATAATAATAATGAGAATTAAAAGATGTAGAAGGAGAAGATGAAGGTAACCAAGGAAGACGACGGGGAAGAAGGAGAATAATAATAATAATAATAATAATAATAATAATAATAATAATAATAATAATAAAAATGAGAAGAAAAAGGAGATGTAGAGTGAGAAGACGAAGGTAGCCAAGAAGAAGACGGCGAAGAAGGACAATAACATTAATAATAATAATAATAATAATAATAATAACAATAATAATAATAATAATAATAATAATAACAATAATAATAATAATAATAAAAATGATAATAACAATAATGAGACGAAGAAGGAGATACAAAAAACGGAGGCTACCAAGAAGAGAACAAAGAATTATCATAATGTTGATAATAATAATAATAATAATAATAATAATAATAATAATTAGAAGAAGAAAAAGAAGAAGAAGAAAAAGAAGAAGAATAGTAAAAAAAAAAGAAAAATTAGGTGTAGAAGGAGGAGGCAGCCGGAAAGAAGGCGGCGAAAAAGAACGATTATAATAATAATAATAATAATAATAATAATAATGATGATAATAATAATAAAAGATTGCAGTAGACTAATTGAAAGGATTCCTGGAAGTCCATGCCTCAAGGAGATACAAAAGATTGTCCTGACAAGTACAGCCCAAACTTTACGAAGGGCTTTATCTATGTAATTTAATTTTTTATTTTTTTTTGTCAGTGGAAAGTGTCATGACGCCATTTCTAACCTTAGGTCCCTGGGCGGGACCCGGAAAGAAATGTGTAAACGCCAGAAATCAAAGAAAATAAAAATAATAATAATAATAATAATAATAATAATAATAATCTAGGGTGTATAACGAGGAAACAGGTCTTGACGAATATAACATTCGTAGGACATACAAGAAAAGTAATAAAAGTTGGTAAAGTGACAAACAGAGACGATAATCCATAATGCTGGCTTTAATTACAAATCATTTTCCTCCATGGCCATTGGCTAAACAGTTTCATTGCCAATGAACTAGAATGGAAACAAATGGCTACTACAG